GCGCCCTTTTCTGCTCCTTTTTGCCATCCCGGAGCCAATCCTTCTCCTCCTTGAGAAGGTCGATCTCGCTCGCCTGGGCGCCCACCTCCTTTGCCAGCTCCTCCTTCTCCGACTCGAGCTTTGCCACCTTCTCCTGCAGCTCCCTCCGCTCCACCTCAAATTCAGCCTCACATTTGTGGCGCTCCTCCAGGGCACCTTGCAAACGGGATAATTCCAGCGCCGCCTTCAGCTGGGCATCCTCACACTCCTGCGCCAGCTGCTCGTGGCGCTAGGACGCCGTCTCCAAGTCCTCCTTCAAGGCGGACGCTGAACTCGAGGCGGCCAGCGCCTCTTCTTTCGACTCCAGTAGACGTCGGGCGCCCCTCTCCACGAAAAGGAGGATCTATGTCAAAGGCAACAAGGAGTTAGACGCATAAAAAAACTACATAAAAAACACAAGGCAAACGGGATGGAATGAAACGAGTGGTAAGGTCACCTTGGCGCCCACTTGCGCTAGCTCAGCAAAAAGGTGGTCTCCATTGACCTCGGAGGGTACCTGCCACATCTTCTCGGTAGATATCGCCAACCGCATGGTGCACCCGCGGTCAACCGCGGACAAGGGAGAGCAGGGGAGGGCAACGCGCCCAACTTCGGTACGCGTCGGCCGAATCACAGGCGGGCGCCCATCAGCATCAACGAAGCGCCCCTCTTCGTCCAGGTGGACGCGGGCGCCTTGTCCCCCAGCAGGGCTTTGGGCCGCGGCTGGAGCCTTTCCCTTCTCGCTTTCGCGAGCCTTCTTCCCACCATAAAGAATGGGGGAGCCCACCCTTTTCTCCCTCCGAACTAGCGAGGGCGCCTCCTCCTCCTCCTCGGCAGCGGGAGTATGGTCGAATACAGGTTCCCCAGCGTCCGGTTCGGGGGCCGAGGATGCCACGCTGGCAGTCTTGGTGCGCACGGGCGCCTTGGTCAAGGCAGCTTTTGTGGACGCTTTTCGACGCCGTCCCTTCTTGGGTGCCGGCGGTGCTGGCGCCTTGTACGGGTGGCACCAGCAACGATAAAGAGTTAACACAAATAATGCAAAGGGGAGACAAAGTAAATATAAATGGGTGCCAACACACCATCGTTGTAATATTCCTCAAAAAAGCTAAGTCGATTCGCAGTTACGCGAAGGTTAACCGGGTGCGTGCTAATTAACTGGACGCCCCGAGTTTCGTCAGAAGAAAGATGGACGGTCGAGTTGAAACCCTCAATTTTGCCCAGCGCCGAATGCCTCACGAAGGCGCCCCCACTTTCGAAGAAAGAATCCTAATAGGCTTTCACGAAGAAAAACCAGTTGAACCAACTACGCCCCAGCTTGGGGCACCTAACGACGAAGTGATATGGGCGCTTGGAATGCTTCTGAAGGGAGAGGCAGTTGTCGAGGGGCGCCACGTTAAAAAACCACCTGAAAAGGTTGAAGGTGGGCCTCACGTTGTGCACCTGGCACTTCAACTTAAACAACGTCACCACCACCATTACTGAAGGGGATAGGCGCCCCAACGGGCACTCGCACATCGTCAGGATCCCTTCCAAGATGGGTCTATGGGAAACCGCAGCCCAAACCTAAAGTATTCTTGGTAGACCCCTATCCATTTAGGTCCGCACACGCCAACCCTAGAGATGATCGTCGGAGGCGCGTACCACCAGTCGCGCGGGAGCTGAAGACTGGTCACCAACTCATGACCTCGCGCCAGGGTCGTGCGGACCTGCCCCATTGCCGTTCCTACTCAATGGTCAGGAAAATGTGACGAGAAGAGTGTTATAGACTCCAGATAATGTTAATAGACTCACAATTGTCGTCACCACCACCATTATTTGCTAATTATCCCCTTCTTATTTACCAAAACACCTCTCCTCAAAGTCCCTTCCTCAAATCTCATCCCCAAGATCCCTTAACCTCCCTTAAAAATTTTCCTAGGAATAATCCCTTCATTGTCACCCATTTCCCTAATTAATTTCGTCTTGGGCGAATTTTTCCCTAACTTAAACCTTCTTAAAAATTCAGAGCATAATTTACCCATGTCAATCATGAGATAGAAACCCTGGAAAATTATCAAACTCAAAAAAATCCTCGATATGATTTTTGGTTAATATAAATCAAAGTTCTACTTATTACTAAAAATAATAATACATCTTCAAAAACCCTCCAAATTAAATTAAAGCCATCTCCTAGACCACGCTCAATTTATAAAATTGTTAAACCGAGAAACCAACACTCATAGAGGCTCGAAACAATTAAAACATCTAAAAACACGTTTCTGTAAATTCCCTGCAACTTTAGTGACCACCCAAAATCTATCGCTAAAAGCTTGTAAAGAGTGTTGCTAAATCTCCAGAATTGCACCCTCACGAAAAATAATCAAATCAATCGAACTAACTCAAAGGGATCGAGTTCCCTTACCTCTAGAACGTGCCTAGGATTAGATTGAATGACCCGGGACGTTGATCGATGTTCGAACCCTTAAACGTCGCCGCGAGTGCCATAATAGAATCATACGAATTTCGGATTAGACTATTGATGAATCTAGCTTGGAATCATAAAAGAATCTACGATCCTTACCTGGGAAATAGGGATCAGGCACATGGTAGCGGCTGGGGAGCTTTTTTTCCCCTTCTCGCTCACGATGGGAAGCAGGGATGAGCGGCGGGGGCTTGGGAATTGTTGCTGGGGAAAACAATTGGGAAAAGTTGTGGGGAAATAAAATAAGGGTTGGGGATTTAGGGCGATCGGCCCTTTGGCCGAGTTGTTGATATGCTTGTTTTTTTTTTTTTTAATATAATAATAATAGTTATTATTATTAATTCTAATCCGCGGTTGTAACCATTCGTACGTAACCGTCAATCCAATTGATCACTTAATATGGTTGAACCTAAATCTAAAATATTGGGGTGTTACATTAAGTTCATTAAGAACCGATTGGGGCGAATTCATTTTCTGATGGCATTTTCGTCGATTTTGGAATTATATTTTCATCAATTTTGAAGGCTATCCCTTATACAACCCTAGGGGTTGTTTTGATCAGAAGCATCACAGCCAAGATCAAATTCCAAGAGATTTGACCTCTTTTGAACAACTAAAAAACATAGATGCTTTTGTTGTGTTTGATACGAAAATCTCGTGCAATTTTCGCAAAGGAAAGAGGCTCGATTTTTTAGAGTGCTATTTTTCACCAATTTTGAAGGCTATCTATCACAGATTTTGACCAATCTTTGAAATACTGTTTTTTAACCTTTTTTAAGGCTATCCATCACAGAGTTTACCAATATTGAATGTTATCCATCACAAATTCATGCCAATTTTTGGGAATGCTATTTTTCACTGATTTTGAAGGCTATTCATCATAAATTTTGACCGATTTTTGGGAATGCTATTATGCATCGTGCTGAAGGTTATCCATCACAAATAGCGATTTTTGTGGATGCTGTTTGCCCTCTATTTTGTAGGTATCCATCACCGATTTTGACCGATTATTCTAAATGTATTATTCACCAATTTTGAAGTGTATTTATCACAAATTTCGACTGATTTTTGGGAATGCCATTTCACCGATTTGGAAGGCTACCCATCACAGATTTCGACCGATTCTTTTGAATGCTATTATTAACTAATTTTGAAGGCTATCCATCACAGATTTTTGCCGATTTTTGGGAATGCTATTTTTCACCGATTTTGAAGGTTACCCATCACAGATTTTGGCCGATTCTTTTGAATTTTATTATTTACCAATTTTGAAGGCTGTCTATAACATATTTTGGATGATTGTTTTCAATACTACTATTCACCGATTTTTAAGGCTATCCATCACAAATTTTGGCTGATTTTTGGGAATGCTATGTTTCACCGATTTTGAAGGTTATCTATCACAGATTTTTTCCGATTTTCGAAAATGCTATGTTTCACAGATTTGAAGCCTATCTATCACAAATTTTTGCCGATTTTCGGAAATTCTTTTGTAAATCGATTTTGAAGGATATCCTTCACATATTTTGGTAGATTCTGTTGAAAGCTATTATTCAATAATTTTGAAGGCTATTCATCACATATTTTGTCCGGTTTTTGGGAATGCTATTTATCACCAATTTTGTAGGCTATCCATCCAAAACTTTTGCCTACTATTTTGAATGCTATTATTCACCGGTTTTGAAGGCTATCCATTAGAAATTTTGCCCAATTTTTTTTATTGTTATTATTCACCAATTTTGAAGGTTGTTCATCATAAATTTTGGCCAAATTTCTGGATTGTTATCTGTCATTTATTTTGAAGGATATCTATCACAAATTTTGTCCAAATTTTTTTAATAGTATTATTCACCAATATTGAAGGCTGTCCATCACAGATTCTGACCGATTTTTGGAAATGCTACATTTCACCGATTCTGAAGGCTATTCATCACAGATTTTGGCCAACTTTTTTTTAATGCTATTATCACCCATTTTGAAGCCTATCCATCACTGATTCGGTCCGATTTTTCGAAATGATATTTATCACCAATTTTGTAGGCTATCCAGCACATATTTTGGCCAATTCTTTTGAATGCAATTAGTCACCGATTTTGAAGGCTATCCCTTAGCGATTTTTGCCAATTTTTATTGTTATTATTCATCAATTTTGAAGGATATGTATCACAGATTTTGGCCGATTTTTGGGAATTGTATTTTCATCGATTTTGAAGGCTATCTATCACAGATTTTGGTAGATTATTTTGAATGCTATTATTGACGGATTTTGAATGCCGATTTTTTAAAGGCTATTTATCACCTATTTTATAGGCTACATTAAAAAATTTTGCCAATTATTTTAAATGTTATTATTCACCAATTTTGAACACTCAGCTATGGCTATTTTTCACCAATATTAAAATCACAGTTCTTAATTAAGTGCAAATTAGTCCCACAAAGCAGCCATTGGTACGGCATTCGGTCTTTTTTTTTTTTTTTTTTTGGGAGAAACGGATGCAGTCCTTCAAAGGATAGTTTTATGATTCAAATTTACATATTCTTAAACCAGGATTTCGAAATGTATACTTATGTCATTGGATTGCTCATATTGTATGATTCAAAACCATTAGACACAAAATGAATTCAACCGTTATCGATCACATGACATATGATCCATTAAATTAAATATGGGCAAGAACAGCACCAAAAAAAAAAATCGAATGTGACATAAGTTCTTCTACAGGGGTGGTTACTGGCAGGCCTGTGTGACAACCAGCAAAGTCTATTTGTACTTGTAAATGTTGGATTGCAGCTGTAAATCGGGCCTCCACCACTGGTGAATCCCGTGAGCTTCCTTGAAATCCTGCGCAGGGCTCAAATTCACAGCCAGAACTGCTGAAGGGATGAGGTGCAACGGCTCCGAATCCCTCCCCATTGCACTCATCAGCAGCCCGCCCAATGTGTTCTGAGTCGCCAGCTTCTCGATCGCTCCAATCCCAATCTCATCCATCTTCTTCCTATGCTCAAAGTACCCCACGTACTCCGAGCATATCGGGTCCCCTGGATTGACGAACACGCAAGGCACCCACGACGAGAGAGCTACAAAAGGATCAGCCACAGACCGACTGCCCGCCTGCTGGCTGCTGTAGTTCCTCTTGGAAGCAAATGCGAGCCCGGCTGTGATCACGCTGCCAGCAATCCGAATCCCATGCTTCACTCGCTTGTCTTTGATCCTCTCGATGGGGGCGGAGAAGAATGGCGAGTTAAAGAGAAATGCCGGTATGAAAGTTCCATTCTTGGCCATGGTTTTCCCTGCCAGCATTGCCATGGCTGCTCCCAGAGAGTGTCCAGCCAGCCAGACGTTGGAGTCGCCTACTGCTGCCACCATGTTGCGTACTGCCTGGATTGCTATCTCGAAGCGGGAGGTCTCGTGGAGCCCGTTCCTGATGATGTGGAGGTCAAGCTCGATGTCTCGTGCGAAAGAATCGGGCTTGGTTAAGGTTCCACGGAAGGCGATCACGTAACGTGGGCTTGCATCGAGGGACTGGTGACCATGAGGGGTTGGTGGTCTGTACTCGTAGATGGCTCCAAAGATGCAGTGATCAGCATCGTCTACCAGCTTGCGAAGCAACTTGAAGTGGAAAAACTCCCACCATGGCGGTGCAAGTGCGATTGGATGCTGGCGTTTGAGCTGGCGGTCTCGCTCTAGGATGTAGACGGCTTGGACTAAACTGGCTGCGACGGATCTTCGATGATGTGCATTAGACCTGCCATATTTAATGAAGAGCTTTTGAAAATGGCAATGGACTGATCATTTTTCTTCACATTCATTTCTTTGGTTTACTGAAACTGGTGGAAAGTTAAGGCTTACCAATCAACAAAAGTCAAGTGCAAGGGTCCTGAGAGGTTGAAATCTTCCCTCTCGGACTCCATGGTAGCATATGTGCCTTCTGCGATCTCCTGATCCTACGCAACGAGTTACTGGTGCATTCAAGAACACAACAATAGATTAGCAAGTGGCTCATGGTTTACAACAAACTTCTATGATCAAAGAAGAATAAAGAAGTAGCAATCAAATTTTAAGGTTTCTCATGTGACAAATCATTTCCAACTCCCAACAGTTGGGAAATCCCCAATCATCATACCTAAAGAACTAACAATAAGTTTGATATTGGTATTGGGATAGCACCAAAAAGAGAAGGGGCTCAAGTTGTGTACATATTCATTATTCAGAAGTCAATTATGACCCCTCTGAACAAATAAACAACCAAATGCCAAATCCAATGCAGAGGAAGGCCAGAAACCCATCAACACCAGCAAATCTTCCCTTACTTTCACAATGGATTTGAAAGAACCGCAAGCCTGCAAGCAATCTCCAACTATATCCCCAAAGTTACCAGATGAATATGTTTAGCCCCCTTTCCATTTCAAGCGATCATAACCTAATTAAAAGAGTTCATGAACATGCATCACCAGCCTAATAACCATCAGCATTCTGTAAAGTTTCCACCTTTACAAAAGCCTGGGACAAAGAGCAAAGATTGGAAGCTGAACCAAACATTCCCCAGTCGAATTTGCGTGCATTCAACCCGACTAACGGTTTCCAAATACATCCCCGGCGACATTTCATATTCCTGGGAAGACCACCCAGAGACAGGAACTGGAAACCACCAACACCAGAATAACAAAATTTAGCCCCTTAATAACCTAGTAAATAGGTCAAGAACATGCATTCTCTGGCGTAATAACCAGTCGGTATTCCATAAAGTTCCCACCTTTACAGCAGCAGGCGCAAAGAGAACGGATTGGAACTGAACCAAACATTCCCCCTGTCGAATTCGCGTGCATACAAACCGACTAACGTTTTCCAATTACATCCCCGGCGACATTTTCATTTCCAGGGAAGACCACCCGGAGACGGTAGCTAGAACCGACAGGGAAATGAAGGCAAACCCAATTCACGGAAATGGGAACAGAAAATCCAGGTACGTCTAAAATCTAAATCTTACAAAGAGAAGAGGAGGAAACGGATTCAGAAATGAAGAATGGGACATGGTGATACGTACCTTTTGATCCCGGGAGGGAAGGGCAGATCAAATCCAATGATGAAATAAGACGAACGTTAAAGATTCCTTTCTTCCTCTGTCTCTTCGTTTCTCTTCTTCTTTCGCATTTGAATCTGAGTTTTGGGCTGGGATCTACGAACTATATGAACTTTGAGTTGAAAGTTTGTCGTTGTCAGTTAAAACGTCATACAGCGACAGGAGAGGAAAGCGGCCCGGCCCGGTAACGGAACGGTAAGGAATTTGGGAATCTGTGGGAGAACCTTTTGGTTCGGCTACTCGGATACTCAACCCGAGATCGGGTTGGTTGGGTGTGGAAATATCCTAAACCCAATTTACCCAAACCTATCGAGAAGCATCCGTTCAGCATAACGGGCTCAACTGGGCCAGTTCAATAGCCCAGAACTTTGGGCCCAAAGCCCCACTTAACTTTTTGATCAGCAATTCCCGATCACAATAAAGTATAAACTGTGCACTAATAAAAACCAACATGTTGATGTTATTGTGTCATAATCGCTAAGGCTAAACTAGGTCAGACTATGTCATAGATTTTCTTTCTTTAAGCTTGGCAGGCTATCTCAACCCATCTGAAGTCCATCAGATGGCACACCAAACTGCTATTGTATGAAATTGGTAACGAGGATGGCGGTGATGGTGAGCCACTACATCTGCCGCTCCATTCGCCTATCGTCTACCAAAATGCCATATGGATACGACGAACAGGCTTCGCAGGAGACGAACAACTTCATATGTAAATGACAATTCGTTCCACCATCACACTCTGGCTCGGCAGCTCGAAGATCACAGCTTCGAAACCCGACAGTGGCAGACGACCATCCTTAAAGCTTTTCCATCTCTCAGAGGGCATGTTACATCACATAGGCAAACTCCAAACCTAAGACTGCAGCATAAGCTAAGCAAAACAGCCACATATACACAGGCTCTCTCCGTATAGCCGTCAATTCGTTTACAAAGATGAACACCCCCATGATACTAAAGCCAGCCAAATCAAAGACGAGGAAAATCTTAATAGCTCACAGGAGGAGAACTACATAATAAAAATGAATCAGCGGATGGCAAACAAATGAAGCAAGGTCACCAATGAAAATCTCATCAACTAATACTACAATACCAGACGCCAACATCACCAAACAACATCCCAGATGGCCCGACGACATATTCCATTCTTTTTCATGTGAGCGATATCGTCATTACCTTTACTTCGCCCAAGCGACTTGGTCGATCTCGGCCTGCGCAGACCTATACAACTCCAGCCTCTTTGCGAGGGCGTTGCGGCGCTCCATCACCGCAGGATCTTCGTTCAACAACTGTGACAATTGCTTTTGCTGCAACAGTACCCATTAGCATCTTCAAGTTAGTTTCTGAATTAAATGCAAAAATGACTGGTCACGATATGGAAAAGAGCAAACCATCAGCTCACCTCCATTTTTCCCAGCTCAGTGAAGAAATGGTCAAGGAGGCTTCGTTTGGCCTCACGCACTTGGCAATAGACGATGGACTTGGGAATAGAGTTCCGTAAGGTTGCACACACCATATTCACATAGGAAAGAACTGTGCTTCCTGTTAATGAATTTCAACGCAGAAAATTATTGATGGTCTTCTAAACTAGAAACCATCATATATTTAACAAATAAGTGTATGATAAGCATGTTTTAGGAGTGTGGAATCAAAGAAACCTACCAATCCGTCTAAGATACGAATCATTGTATCTGTCAAATATGGAATGAGTAGGGTTGCCACCCTTGTCAATGTCTTGGGGAAGCTTTCTGAAGAAATCAACAGTCAGGTAACTACACTCCATGTCCACCAGCTTCAGTGTTGCTTTCTTGCTTTCTTCTTTCATTCGGTCAAGTGATTCAACAGCTGCGTTTGTAAGCTCTACTCTGAGACCAGGGTACTGCCTCAACTCCTGTTAGCCAAAAGGAAATTCACATCAATTCAACATCTTGGAAGAAGAAATAACAAGGAGAGTAAAAAAAAATTAGCGTACCAGCGTCTCATGGATGGCCTTTTGTACAAGCTCCTTTAATATGGAATGAACCTAAAGCAGCAAGCACAAAAATATATATCAGCTGGTGAGAAATAAACTCTCTGGCCCAAAAGATCATTTTTCCAATTAGCATGCATACCGCTTCAACAGCTGCCTCAGCAGGACCTCGGATAGTAACCAACGAAGATTCAATCAGACGGCGATATCCCTGCTCGGGAGCTATTAAATGTGGTTGGTACCCATCAGCTTCAGTGATCAGTTTACGGATATTCTCCATAGCAAGCTGTTTGTCGAATTGCAACCTCTTCAGGGCAGCAGGAAGCTGGTTATCAAATACATTGTATACCTTTTCACCTCCTGGTCGACTGTGAATGTCCAGTTAAGTGAAACCATACAAAGTCGAATATATAGAACTACCATGAACGAACATAATCTGAGGTCAAAAGGACCAGAAAGGTAAGAACAAAAACATTAAACTTACACTCCATCCAGATGCTCCTTATATATTTGATCAAAAAGACGGCAAATCTCCATGATTGAATATAGCTTCCCCTGCAATCAACCAATCATAATCACTCAAGACATTCTAGTGGGATAGACATATACACAAGCACACACAAGGATTAAGATTTGTAATCAGGGGGAAGGACCCTCAATTACAAAGAGCATACTTACTCCGGCATCAGTAGCAATAGGCTTCCCAAGGCGACTAAGCTCAGCTTCCAGCTCAGCGATTGTCTTGTTAATAAGTGACTGAAGGCCAGGGATACGGGACTTGATTACAACTTCTAAATGCTGCACCATAAACAAGGTTAGTAATCAGGTCACTACCGCATCCAATATTCGAGGGAAAGTGCATAATCCAATGGCCCTACTTTTGACAGCATTTTTGCTAGGTGCTCAGAACCCATTCTGTTAGCAAGGTGCTTGTACTCTGGGGTGGTTGCAAAATACTCACGCTCTCTACGCCGAGCAGCGATCATGTCCACGTTCTTGTTAATGTCAGCTTGAGAACGGTTCACGACACCAATCCAAGGAAATTTTAACCGGTAAGCTTTTCCTTCCAATATCTGAATCAGCCAGAAGAGCATCTTAGAGCACTGTTTGATGTATACACATGGCCATCCAAACAAAAAAGCCTACTTACTTCTACTGCATCAGTACCCTTGTCCATGAGGTCAATCTTTGTCAAAACTCCAAAAGTTCTCTCTCCTGACAATGCAATAGGGTACATTCTCATTATCCAGAGCATTAAGCTCAAGATTGGAAGATGAAAAAAATATTCTGAAGCAACAACTAGCACTTAGATATAACTTCTTTGTGAGAACTTAGTTAAGACTACAGGCGCATGCTAGCTTAGCATACTAGATTCAAATATAGCAAACTAACCTGTCGGGTCCACGTCGCGGGAAATTTTAACAGCATCAGATGTGGCAAGATCTTGATTTGCAGGTGATACTGCTAAAATTAAACAGTTGGGCTGCACAAAATTTAGCAAGGAGTCAAAGGTGTAAACAAATTTGAAAGCTAAAATGAAAGAGGTGTAACAAATTAAATTTTAATTTAAACAATCATCTTGGATTTACCTTCTCAATAAAGGAGCGCACCATGTTCTCGATATCCTGCACAATACTGTCAGATTGACCCTCTGCAATTTGCAAAACAAATCACATTACAACCCACAAAGATGCTGAAACTGATTGAAAAGAACAAAAACACAGCATGCATTTGCATCAAAACATCCAACCATGCATTTGCATCAAAACCCTTACAAGGTTGCAACTCGTTTCCCATCTCATTCAATGACCTTCAATATTCCAGACGTCTAACAACTACCTAGAAGAAACTATAGGCTTGGAAGGCCTCAGCGATACCTAAATGGACAGATGCTACTTACCAACAGCTACTTTTGTGAGCCCAGGAAGATCGATCAGCGTAAGGTTGACAACTGCAATATCAAAGAGCCATCAGAATGCAGAATGCTTACAACAACAGATGCCAAAAAGCTTGGAAAGCTCATACTGGGCCTCACCGTTTGGAGAATATATGCTGAGATGGATTGGAACACTAGATATTTGTTTAGAGCGTCCTGTCTCTCTATCAGTCTCGTCTGCAATCTCTTTCCGCACAGCACCTGCACCCATGTAATGAGCGAACTAAACCAATTGAGCACACAACTAAGTACGTCTCACCAAGTTAAGGCCACAAGTTAACAAATTGGGAGCCATATAAGCGAAGAGAAAGGCATGTCCACATGCCAATAGTGATCAGTAATTAACTGCATTCAATAACATTGCTCTAAGCACAATCAGAACATTATGCGGAACTCCATCCAGTTGAGACATTTGCCTATGGACTCCAATCTAGAACAAATACATGATTGGAATTTCCTCCAGGAAGTTCAATTCTTACCAAAATCGGTGAACCTTTTCCTCGGGAGGTGGAGGAACTCAGCATACTCTCTGCTTCCTTCCTCTAGCTTATGAAGCTGCAACACTAGAGGTCTTCTAGTAACAATCCCTGCACAAAGTAATTTCAGACAAACCGACTCATTATACCATCTCCAAGACACAGAGAACTCAACAAGAACAACGCGATTTCAAAGAGCTATTCGGTTTAACAACTCTTACCAGATCCACGAGGCAAGAAGTCCTTTCCTACTATGCTCTCCAACACGGACGACTTCCCCGAACTCTATTTCAAACATAAAACAACCGCAAAACTCAATAACACCATCTTGAACTTCAAATTCACGCTGCCAGAGCCAACAGGCAACCGCTTAAACAAGAGATTAGGGATTCATAAGGTAACCTGGCCACCAACGACGGCGATAGCCGGCAAAGAGTCCCAAAGAGTCGGCAACGCGCTAGCTTCCCCGTGATCACCGAGAGCAGTACAAGCTCTCTGAATCTTGTTAACTAGAGAGATCAAATTCTCCATATCTCCGAGCTAGTTAGAAATGAAGGAAACAAGCAGGAATCTGTAGAGAGTCCCGCCGGCGCAGCCGCCCGCAGCCGTCAGATCGGAGATCGCCCTGGATCTGAGGAATTGAGCGGGGGATCTGCCGGAAGGAACAGCTTCGGTCGCAGATGTGAAGGATTGGTGGCGACTGGCGATGCAGACGGAGCGAGAGAGAAGCGCGTGGTGGGTTTGAAATGGAATTGACACAGAGATGACTTCAAATGGAGAGGAAAGGTAATTAGGAAGTTATCTGTAAAATGGAGGGAGGTGTATATATTGTGGGGAGGGTTTTACGAAGGCGAAGACGGTTAGGGTTCGTTTGGATGGAGTATTTGTATGAGTTATTTGGATGCAAATAATTTGTTTGGCAGTGTTTTACTGAAATGAGTTAATTGGACAGTGAGTTATTTACAAATAACTCAAAACGAGTTATTTGAAATAACTTATACTCATGTGTTATTTCGAAATAACTCGTTTTTATCACTCTGCTTTTACCAAATACCACATGTCAAATACCACATTTGCATGGTTCAACCAAACGAGATACTTTATTTCAATTACCACTAAAATAACATAGAAATACCACATGAGCAATAAATGAGTTATTTGACACTACAAATACCACGTTGACAATTAACCCATCCAAACGACCTTGGAAGCAAGATTTTTCAATGGTTAATTAAATGGTGAAGATAAAAGTTTATTAGGCTTTTTTATTCTTTTAAATATTTTAAGAAGAAAAGGCTTCGGAGATTCAAAATACTGAGTTCAAATTCAGCCACAACAAAACAAAACGTAGGCCCACCAACCCAACGTCCACTATCTTTGTTTTGAATTGGGCCGATCCAAAACCATGATTTTTCATACCCAACGCCAACGGTAGGAAGTGCCACTAAAACTGGACTTTTTTATAATTTTATGGATGAACATCGTTACTATTATCGTTTACCTTGAAATTCGAACTAATTTCCGAGTTAAAAGTTATCATTGAGTGACTTGGTATTTTTTTAGAAATGAGTAACTTGTTTAACCTTGTGAAGTCAACAAAAACTAAAGAGAGATGGACAAGAAACCATAAGTGGGACGTCCTTTTTATGGCATTAGTGAAAAAAGTTGGATAAATTTTTCAATGAGATGGAGATGGGTTTTAAGCTTTTTTTTAGATAAGGATGATATAGGTTTTTTTTTTGTTATTAGGTACTACTGAAGAGATTTTGTTTTTATTAGGACAACTTCCTAACCCACCTCAAAGTCTAATTACAATTCATAACAAAATCCATTCTCCCTTGTCTTGAGCTTTCAAATTATGAAAAGAAACCGCCACACATAAGACAATAATAAGGTAGGAATCGATTAAAATACCACATACATGATGATTCAAAATATATATGAACATACATTATGTTTTTGTTGTAAGCCGTACGTTGAACACAAAGTTAATACTGTTATAAGATTTGTCCCATGGACTTCCCCCAAATCATAATGTCTTGTTGTAATATATAATTACTAATGAATGTATAATAACTCAAGTCTATTAAATCCACGAATTGAGCTGCCTACGCTGCGCAGTCCATAATAAATTATCCAATCTGCCATGAGACGAGTATGAATATCATTACATACTTGATTTGACCTCCATATACACAACCCACGTTCTCTGCCCTCATAAGAATCCTCAATTGCTGGACTAAACTATTAATCTACCGATCCCAATGATCAGGAAATCAAAACAGCGCCAACGAGACGAGCACGAGCCCAAAGAATCCCTCTCTCTATTGACGGTGGTAACGTAATGAATGATTTCTGGACACTTGTTAGGTCACTATTAGGCCAAGTTGGAAGGGAGGAAGAACATCTCAAAATGTGGAACAGAAATAATTGTTGATCTGTTCTAAAATATATAATAAATAATAACAATTAATTCTTCTATTACCACTCATATAGAACACAACTATCAGCTTTACAGAACACATTAGATTGCAGAACATTTCTCTACTTATAATCTGTGAACAACGTGCTAACCAATTTGGACACCAAAATAAGACCAACCCTAACCTTAACCTCTTTACACATATCCTATATAGATCCAAGAAAAAGAAGAGAAAAAAAAGGAGGAAAAGAAAAGAAGAAAAAAGCCAATCTAATTTTCTACTATCAATACTGGGCAAGCAGGCAGGAAGCCCACAGCAAGATGTTTATTCAATAGTAAGAAGAGGAAGAAGACAAACACTCCTCTTTCTCTTGCCAACACACTGTAATTAATACTTTCTAAGAGGAAGGAAGAATCTACACCCATATCATATGCTTCTTTACTATGCTGTTGTTGTACCTAAAGGGGGAAAAAACCTGTGAGAATTGTTATCTTTCTTTCCCGTTTCTACTTGGTCCCGTTAGGGGCGTCCGGTGAACTGTAGCCGTAAGGGTTCTTGCTGGCCCAGTTCCATTGGTCCCGGCACATTTCTTCAATCCCAAATTTGGCCCTGCAGAGCAAATTGTGGGGTTGAGACTTGAGACACAAGAGACGCACTTGATTGCGCTATTATTAAAGGAAATGAAAGGAAAACATGTATGACCCTAATTGTGATTTCTGTGATGCTGACAAGATTATGAGCTTTCTAAAAAGGCTGGTGATTTTGATATAGCAACTTACTTCCAATTCAATTCGCGCTCTGCCTTGGCTGTTGATGCGTAAACTATTTCAGCATCGCCTGGTCGCCGTCCAGCCTTTACTAGAGGGATTTTCTGATTGAAAGTGATGGAAAGAGTCAGTATGAAGATTGAATGGCTGAGAGAGAGCCAAAAATGGGTGAAGACTTGGGTGGGAAGCAGGATAAACCAGACTATGCAATTTTAACAGTGGGGTGTACCTTTCCGGATGCCTTCTCAAATGCTGTAACCATCTCCAACACTGATGTTCCTTTCCCTGTTCCTAAGTTGTATACCTCACAACCTGTACAGACCACCCAATCCAACATTCTAATTAGCCTCCAGTATCAACTAACTTAGTAACTTCTTGACCTATTCACTGGTTGTAAATTCATGTACTTTCAAATTATGGGCAAAAGCCAATAGTTCCTCATGGACAGTCAAGTTTGAGAGGGTGCACAGCAGAACCACAAGAAGCTAGATGCACGAGCCGACTATCAACTGTATCCTTGTAAAACATTTACAGCCAGACCAATACTCTATAATTTTGAGTTCGTATTAGGTCGTGTTGAAGGCAATCAATCTAGTGGGGGTTCAGAACCAGAGGACTCATGCATACAGCCGTAAGCATATGGAGAGGAAGGGTTTCCAGGATAGTGTATAACTAAACCAAGGTTTGTGATCGAGCAGTGGAGAAAAAATCAAAGGTAGACGAAAGATTGAGGAGCATACCTATATCAGGTGCGTCCAGCTTACGCAATGCAGCAATGTGGCCATCCGCCAAATCAACAACATGAATGTAATCACGTACCTGAGTATGAGACAGACCTTTGTTAAGTCAACCAAACACAATATTTCTAAGTGACATGTAACTAAACCAGCTTCTTGGATAAAACTATAGTCCCACTTGGAAGGGATGATACTGAGATCATTCTTGGCTTGGCTTTCAGCCAAAAAGGCAGAAGTGCTTACATGCAGAGCAGAAAGAATACATGTAAACGGAAAAAGTGCAAAGCATACCCCAGTTCCATCCTTGGTCTTGTAGTCAGTCCCAAAGATGGTTAGATGAGGTCTTCTGCCAACAGCAACTTGCTGCACAAAGGGCATGAGGTTGTTCGGGACTCCACTAGGATCCTCACCAATCTTACCACTAGGATGCGCGCCAACTGGATTGAAATACCTCAGCAAGATTATCTTCCATTTAGGGTCTGAGCGGTAGACATCACGGCAAATATCTTCAATGAAAAGCTGAAAAGGCCGGCCTCGTAAGATTAGCATTCGTGCAAACAAAGTCATGACTGTACTAGACACAGCAAACTATACTGTCTACATAACAATATTGATGACATCCTCATCTTCTAGTTATTTCTCCTGCTCTAGACATCATTTCTCCCTGGTCGACCTATTTTTAACTTTCGTCACACTAACCAATAACTTGAGTACACAGTCGCTCAGTATAGTCCCAACAACATTAGTAGATACCTTGGTACGCCCATACGGGTTCATTGCACTGATTGGAAATTCTTCTGTACATGGGACTTCCTTCGGCCAACCATAAACTGTGGCTGATGATGAGAAGACAAGCTGAACCCACAAAAGCCAGAATCAAAAGATCATCAGCACACAATGCCAACTCTCCAGCCAGTAAGACACGCACACAACTCAAGAAGAAACTCACATTCTTGCATCCATGGGCAGCCATTACTTCCAGCAAAGTAATCGTTCCTATGACGTTGTTGTTGTAATACAACAAGGGCTTCTCAACACTCTCGCCCACTGCTTTCAGTCCAGCAAAGTGGATGACAGCATCGAATCTGTGCAGATAAAAGCTTAATGAGAAACCCTAAGAACTCACCTAATCAGTACGGAAACATGTAAAATTAAGGACCATCACTGTGTAGAACTCATTCATACTTTGTCCCCGCAAAAATCTTCTCCAGCGCAGGCTTGTCCCTTATGTCGACCTGCAAATTTGAATCCATACTCTCAGTAACGAACCACACAATTCAATGAACTTCAGTAGGTCACTGTACATGGAAACTTCTGGATTTTGGCAACCACTTTGCAAAGCATAATTGGGCTACTGTAAACCTCATAGAAAGATCAAAAAAGGAAAGAAGAAAAAAAAAGGGATGAAAATCAGTAGCCCATACTTGAAAAGTAAGGAAATAAAGCAACCAATCAAATCAACACAAGGAAACCAAAATTGCCGCCACAGAGAGACCGGAATTTTCCGCGGAAGCGGACGGATTCACCGCCGCGGCAGGGCTTTCAATTCCCGACAATTCGGAGACCGAACAGCGAAATTCAATTCAGTAAAATTCACAGAGACTTGGCCGGTCAGCGGGGAGACGACGAACCTGGTGGAAGGACAGATTCTCGGCGTGCTTGCCGGCGAGCTCCTGAACTCGGCGGAGGGCGAGTTGATTGGAGTTGTCCAGGCTGTCAACGACGACGGCGCGGTAACCGCCTAAGAGCAACTGGAGCACGGTGTGAGTCCCAATGTAGCCGGCGCCGCCGGTGACGAGGACGCGCTTCGCCATGAGTAGAGAATTCAAACAGAAAGCGAAGAAGTGCGAGGGAGGAGGAGGAGGAAGAAGGGAGGTTTTGCCGGGTTTTCTAGTTTTGCGAAAGGGGGGAAAACTGTTGTGCGTTGTTGATTGAGGCCGAAAACAGGGTGGAGGAGGAAGGCGGAGGATTATATAGAGAGGGGAAAGGGAGGAGAAACGGAATGAATTGCGTTGCGTGCATTGATTAGGCATCTGTGGAGAAGAGAAAAGAAAACTGAAAAGCTCACTGGAAAATTTAACATTTGATTAATTAAAATCAAATCGTGAATTAATTAATGTCATCTCTCATGACAGCGAGAGATGGAGGAGGGAGAGAAATTTTTTCTTTTTTTTTTTTAATTAGGGATCCGAAACAACTTAACTGCGTTTTCAGAAATTAATTAAAAAAAGACTTAACTGAAGCATATGAAAACTTAACTGCAACTTCAGAAAAGATAACTCCGGCGAAGAAGCGCGGTTATAACTGCAATGTTAATCTTGGCTGCGTGGATGCACCACTTAATATTAGCCGTAGATCTATGTGGAGCAATACTAGTCGTGGATTAGAGTATTTCGTATTCTCTTGAATTTATTGATGCAAAGTAGTTAGAGTAAGAATTATAAATACTGTTTTTTTTTTTTGTCTCGTCTTAACCGTTATCATCAATTTCCTTAGAGAAAGATTAGATTAGTTATGTGATGCTCAAGGCAATGAAATTATTCAAACTCTATTTCACCCTATCGATAAGGAAGAGTGAATTCATCAAATTTGGTGAAATTAATCCAATCAAGATTTCCAAATGATCAACCTGAGATAAAGTGGATTTGGTTTGCATCGAATTCATTAATTAGAATCTGAATCAAAGAGAAATAGTTATTAGGTTCAAGTCGATCTAGACCGAAATTCGCTAAATTTGGCATGTTTGAACAAAAAGGTAATTCGGTAGGTTATATTTATACTTGACCAACCCAGACCCTTCAGCCCTCTTGCCCAACAAGTTGGTTGGTTAGGTCCACGACGACCAAACTATATCAAACCCAATTCTCTCTTCATACAAGAAAATACTTCTTCAGGGCATTATGAAATCGAACTGGATCTATAACTAAACCGATACAATCATCAAACTAGCTATAATAACGGCCGACTTCATCTGCCTGGACAGTTAATGATGGACCAAACCGTTTTCTATAGGCTTGAGTCCAGCTCTACAATTAGTGCTCAATGCCTCTTGCTTGGCCCTTCTTGGTTCAATAACCAGCAGTTTGCAAGTCAAGCATATATGTACTGTGACTGCAACTCAAAGCGCCAGCGGCGGCATTCAATTCTCTGGAATTCTCGTCCGGGCCGTGCGGTGCGTTTGAGTGGCCGAGTCTAGAAGTTTCATCACGAGTGTTGAATCACACATTCATGAACGACGGGTTTTGGAGGAAAAGGGGCAAAAGTAAAGGAAAGGGTAGCAAATTAGCAATGGTTTCTCGTCAAACCAAGGAAGATAGTGAAAAGTAGCAACCCTATTCATTTCATATATATATATATGTTTGAATGTCATATCATATTCCAACTTATTGCAAATGGTTGGTATCCTTCTCATTATTTGTACGAATTTGGGTGATTTTTTTCTCGATAGTAAATAGTCCTGTTTGTGGAGCCATGTACCTAATTACTAAATAGTCCTGTTTAGTGACCCTACTTATGTGACTTGTTTAACGTGGGGCTAACTATTTATGGATTGGATTCAAACGATTATCACATAAGGAATCTAGGTCCTTTATACTTTTGAACATGTCCCTTCTTCCTTTTTATGTTTTCATCGTTTAGTAGTGTGTGTTTTCCTTTCTTTTGCATTTTTTCCATCTTAATTTTACATCAATATTCGAAGAACAAGTCCCTTCTTCCTTTTTATGTTTTCATCGTTTAGTAGTGTGTGTTTTCCTTTCTTTTGCATTTTTTCCATCTTAATTTTACATCAATATACGAAGAACAATTTTAGATTATATAAAAACTTTATATATGATTGTTCGGTAATGGTATGAGTGGGGTTTCCTCAAATCGCATACTGATTGATTGTGGCATAACATATTACATTCCTACACAATTCCAATTAGAAAGATGGTTATAATTTTAAAACCTTAAATCAGAATGATACATATAAAAACCGGCTCCACTCAAACCGGTTTTGCCACCCCTAAACCTAACCTGCCGCGTTTCACTTTCCCCTTTTAGTTTTTTTTCCTTCTCGTGATTTCACATGTTCCCATATGGTTTGTCTAATTATTATTGTGCTGGCTTTATCGATTGGTCCATAATAACAATAACAATAATTTGTTAATTGTACTTGGACTTCTAAGAAAGTGAACCATACCCAATGAAAAGCAGACATCATTTCATTCATTCATTAGTTTATATTACCATTTGGGGTTAAGGTAGTCGACCAAATCTTCCTAGGGCAGGTGTTTCTAATTCTTCTTCCTCGACGTCATTGTAGTTTATAAAACAAAAGGGACGATCACCCATATATCCACTCCACAACCTTACCCAATTAAGGCCATAAACTATTATGCAATCCAATTATGCATAAATGTCTCGTTTGGACGAGTTATTTCAGTGGGTTACTTTGATCCAAATAACTCAACTCGTTTGTCAATGAAATATCAATGCAGTAATTTCACTCTAATGGTAATTGGGTTACAATATCACGTTTGGTTAAATCATTCACATGCGGTATTTGGCTATAACGGAACGGTAACACAAGTCATTTCCAAATAACACCGGAGGTGTAATAATTTATGCAAATCACTCAGAGTCCAAATAACTCATTGCAGTAAATCGTTGCCAAACAAATTGTTAATAAATTATTTTACCCGAAATAAGTCAGCTAAAAACCTCATTCAAACAATCTCTAGCCAAACAAGACCATTTCCATACAATAATTCCCAAATAACTCATTAATTTTACATTCATAAAATAACACATAATCTCATCTCAAAATACCAATATGCAAAATGACTCATCAAACTACCCAACAATGTGTTTCAATAGTCCAAATCATTTTCTCACCTGAAAGTCAAAAGTGGACAAACAAAAAGACCAACAAACAGTCAAAACCAAATTAGTAAAGAGATAAAAATCCACCTTCTGCGATCTCATTGGACAGACTTTCCCGACCACATTAAGATAATGGTTAGTAGTATAGCATTTATTAATTTGGTCAAACACTTAACCAACAAGGCGAGAGACTAATACTAACACCAGTAGTAAAAATTCCCACCGAACAATAAGGCCCTGTTCACTTCCATTTTCGTTTCCTGTTTTCTGTTTTCATGTTACAAATTTGGGAAACGAAACGAGAAAACATGTTTAGTTTTCATTCTGTTTTCTATTCGTTTCCAACTCCGAAAACAGAAAGTGGCAGCTTCCTACTATTTTCGAAAACGAAAAAATGTCGTTTTCACCTGTTTTCAACATCTGTTTTCTCAAAAACAGGAAACAGAAATGAAAGTAAACAGGGCCTAAGTCTATGACACTGTTCGTTGTGGATATATGGTGAGCGGACATTTTTCTCCTGCTCCACCTCCTCACTTTCCACCATCGATCCCAAAACCTTATCAGTTCGCCCGTGTCGGCCGCGGTACGTAAATAAGCGGTGGCTCTGTTTATGTCATTTTTTTTTTTTTCTCGTCGACATTCTACACTTTCCTTCCTTCTACGTGGAGGTGGTAGAAGGACACGGCACTTGGGGTGGGGATTGAAGAGCAGGTCGGAAATTTCTGGTCCTCTCTTTTTTGCGATTTCTCTAGAACTTGATTCTCCAATCACGCCCCACCGACCAAGAAGAAGACTCTTGAGGCAACCAGAAACGGGGGGCAAAGGCACGGAAATAAGGAGGACGAAATAAAGCGGGATTTTCATTGGATTTGATGTACCATGTCATATCTTTGTAGGGTTAATAACATAATAATAATTAGTCTTTCAAATAGTTGGACAAAAGAAGTTGCATAAGAGAAAAAATGCTAACGGATGAGCCTTATTGACTATTCTAATTTTTAGATTTATACAAAATTTATATGTAATTTTATCTGTATTTCAAAGTTGAGAAGGGTTAGCTACAACCTCTCTTACCTTCAGCCTAGCTCCACCAGACACCAGATGCATTGCTAATGAAAAACAATCCAATCTCTGGTTATAGGGATGTCATAACATGCGTTGAAGTTACGATAAATTAGATTATTTTTACCCTGTTATAATAAGTTTAACGGACCGCATTACGTAAAATGTAATATTTTAATGGTGAAATAAAATACAAACATATTACATAAACATTACGCAATGTCCTTTTTTTCCTGTTTTAGTTTTAAGAAATCGTGTTAAGTAAGACTTTCGTAATGTATTTCCTGTATAGGTAACTCCATGTTAATACTCATTGCGCAATTCTACAACTGTAATGTAAAATACAGATATGTTTATAAATACTATGTGATGCTAGTAAACTCTTACATAACATGTTACATAAGATTATTTCAGTATAACTCTATGCTAATATTCATTATGTAAAAAATACTATTCATTACGTAAATCTTGTATAAGAGCATCCTACAACGGTTACATAAAATTAACGCGAATTACATAAGCCGTTATGTAACCTCTGCAAACCCTATTATAGCATATGGAAAGGTTCAAATCATAACAACTTTGAAGTTGCCATAGGAATTTACCTAGTTAGTTATAAGTTGATATCAGTAATTAATTAGTGTACCAGAAAACTTTAGAGGTCCTGATTCTATCGCAACGGCGATGGGCAGAACATTTCTCTTTCTCACAATCATGAATGAATATCATCGGATCTATGTCTGTCTAACTGTATTATTCTATCAAAATACAGGCACTAAAAGGGCAGCTAGCTTTATGGAAAATTGGTTCTGTATGAATCTAATAAGAGGCCGAAGAACAAGACAGCGAGGAAGTCCAAGTAATTTAAACCGCAGGCAGTTAAGCATATAATCATGGAACCCACGAAGATGCGCCACCCAAAAAGATTCAAGCGAATGTGCGCCTCACACAATCACTCACTCACTAGCCAGCTCAGGACACCCACACCAAAAAAAAAAAAAAAAAAAAAAAAAAAAAAAAACTAAATTACGTGAACTGGAAGGTACCTCAGTTCTTTGTCTTTACAGCAAAGAACAGGTTCAAATCCCATCAGGCCTCTCCTCCC